TAGAAGAGACGAATTCCAGCGGTAGCGAACTGATCTGCTTTCAGTTGCGCCGCTTGTTTATCGGCCTGGTAGGTAAGAAGGAGCTGGTGGCTGACACTCCTGTGCTATTTATGCTGAACGGTCACGGGGGCGAGATGGCCGAAGTGGTTAGAGCGCGGATTACTAACCTGAAGGTCCGCGGTTCGAATCCAACCTCCGCCACTCGACTTCCCCTGTCTAGGCTTGGGCAACCTGGCAGTATCCCAGCCCTCGTGCTTCCTTCGGGTGGCATGGCAGCTAGGCACCGGAAGGGTGCTACAGCTGAACGCTTACATACAAGCTCCAAGGACAACATGACTGGAATGAACGACTAGAATCCGAAAATTGGTGAGACGTATCACTACACTGCATCACTTTCTCACACAACGATGTAAGGCACATTTAATCTTATCGCAAAGCATGCTGTGAGCAGAAATAAGGGTTTCACAGCCCTTTTTAGGTGACAACTACCTGAATCCACCCAATCGTTTGAAAGGTTAAGTATTGATTCCACAAATTCACTTCTGCTGAATACCCGTAATCCTTCCATCCAGACCAAAACTGTCACCTTGACATGATAGTTTGGCTTGAAAAATGCAATCATGCCGCAGGTCACACTGGCTTGGGAGCCATTCCGTAAGGTGTAACGGTACGAGGAAGAGGTTGAGTTGAGTTGAGCCCAGTTTTCCGGCACACAAATCGTACAGAGAAATGCAATGGTTCCAGCGGCGACGCCGAGGAAAAAGATATTAAGGGAATGAGGGCTATGTGTTGCAAGCGATGCCCCAATCAGTTCGCTGAGGTCGAATGGTTCTGCTTGTTTGGTATGACATGGATGGAGAGCTGCGCAGTTAAGCGACAGCTTCGATGCTAGACCTCTCCTCGCTGTGTGACAGCCATATATATTAGGGGCACCAACCACCAGTTTGTCCTGTCTCGAAGTCCTCATCCTGGATGACGGCACTTATCAACGCAACTGATTGACTGGTACGGTCTTTCATGTTTCGTTGCCAATCCACTGACCGAGGAAATTTGGGTCGTCCCCATCTCACACAAGGAGGGCGAAGAGGGCACTATGGGGCAAACGGCCATACAGATTCGAGGTGCTAAATCTAATCGATGCCGACCTGTTGAGCAAGCACACTTAAGGTGGACCACTGATGACCCACCGAAAGCAGCTAATCTTTATAGGGGGTGTGAAAGACTCTGTTACACCATTAGAGGTCAGTTAGAGTCGCTTTAAGCCCCAGAGGAACGACGTTAATGAGTTTCAGGGGTCGACGCTGCGGTCTCGTATCAAGGAATTCGACTTCCTCTCGGGTTATTTGATGATCCTTGCATCTCCTATTCCCGTTTCAATTCCTCGATGCTCCCGGCGACTGTTTACAGCCGATGCCGGTGAAGAACATATCAGGATGTGGTCCATTTGAAGGCTCGCGCATGAATAAGTACTGCTTGGAGTGACAAATCGAGAGAGCCCGGTGGCTGAGGCGAGAAGGGAAGGTTCGTGATTCGATTCCGAATCTGTATTTTCGATTGCTTCAACCTAGGTTCGGGCAACCCAGCTAAATTTGAGCCATCGTATTTTCATCAGGTCATATGGAAACTATGTACCAAGGTGTCAACATTAAAGACCCAAAACAGTGATGTTTACTGTCATACAAACATTGTTTATTTGAAACCTCACTGTGAAGAAAAGATTGGCTGTGGAGGAGACTCAATTCTAGCCAACCACAATAATTCCGAGGTGCCTAAACCTCAAGACACTCGTCCCGAAAATCCCAATAGAAACTGAAAACAGGAATACCACTGGTATCAACTGGCAGCGTCACCAACCAAGCACCGTGGGGATCACGCGGCCCAAATCATGGAAGCCGAGTCGCACAAACAACACCCAGGACTTTCCGTTATCTCTTTCAAACCTCTCCACCACACCGGAAGTTGGCCACATTTATGCTTCCGCCACTCTGAACTGGATATGGAAAACAGTGCTCCCGTCCGGAAGCGACTGTTTGGCATGCGGAGTACCTAGCCAAACCACCATGACCGCTGACGCTGGACACGTTCTTCGATTAAATCCCCCGCTGCGTGACCGGAAATTCCTATTCTAGTCGCCTCGTCTCGGATTCCCCGGCACCAACCGACACGAGTTCCGATTTTGAAGTAACGGTTGTCGAGTTTTTGAAGGCGTCAAGGTTCCGCTTCTCGCATGCGCCACGTCTCACAACCACACAGCATAACAGCCCGAACTGCGGACTGATTCCCATTCCTTGAAATTTAAGGATATATCTCTTTGACACCACGGTGCTCCAAATTAATAAACAAAAGTCGAGTCATAGAGATTATTGGATTGACATCATCTATCACACTACAAGCAGAACCTAAACAACTTCCAAGATACGCTCCTCAACTACGAACACCTCCCTGGATCGTAAGTGGCGTGTTCAGTGAATGATGCCCAGAGGAATGACTTCAAACTTTGTGGGCGAAAAGCGCCTGCCAAAGGAAGGAATGAAAACTGCGTCTCCTCCACGTTATAGTCTGCATATTCCGCATCGACAAGGTTTTCATCAGCGGCAATTTAAAACCAGGGTTTCTAGACCTTTTAGTATTCGTCCCGTTACCTTATCGATCACGAAACGGGGAGGAATGGATAGTCTTGTAGGACACCGGTTTGTGCACGGAAACGTTTGGAGAGCTTTCCTTAAACTCACACACGCCCGCAAGCCTGTTCACAGAAGCCCGGGGCATTCCTTGGTGGGAAGGCGTGTGGAGAACATAGGAGCCGGTCGAGTTAAATATACCTTGTTTAGGTATGGCAGAGATTTGCCTATAGCAAACACTACCAGCCCGGAATCCCGTTCACTGCTTTTGAGTCAACGCTTCGAGGGCCGCACGAGGCGACAAAGGACAAATGAAGCCGGGAAACGCGTTAGGACGAGTCAAGCTGATCCCTTTGTGATTACTGCGGGTAATACGGGCCGTTTTGTAAATTGGCACAACGGTGAGTGTTCCCCGGTTGTCCGAGACAATGTACCTTCCTCGGGAGGTAAATGAATGAGAAAAGACGTAAAACTTCATCCCAATCACTGAAGCGTGCAGGTAGGGTGACATCCCAACCAAGAGCTCGGTAGCATTTGAAAACAGTCATGAACCTCCCAGGTCATAGGACGTTCCAGGTTCACTTCGACGGCACAAGTGGGTGGTAGGTAGCCACGAGCATTGTAGTTCAAATGGCTCGGCACAACAGTCGAGAGGTCCTTCTTTATCACCGAGTCATGCCACTGATCCCTGATGGTTCGCCCACCCGAAGCTTCCGGAGCCGGCAGCACAGATCAACTCAAATAATCTTTGAGTACTCCTTAGACTTCCATATCTACCAGGCATAGCACTCAACGGGGACATCAAGTTCACCTTGACGTTTGATAATTAACGTGCAAAAGTATGTCCGGGACCGGGTGGAATATTCCTCCGAAATTCGAGCGGCGCCACCGCAGCCTCATATTCAGGGCTGAACGGATTGGAGTGCCACAAGAACCTCCGGTACTGTGCAGATGAGGTTATCTCGTTCCAGTACGAGCAGTACGGAGTCCAGAAGAGTGATGAATTAGTTTAGTTTCGGGATCTGCCAACCACGAAAAACGGTCGGATAATGACGTCACCTATACACTATTCCATCAATCTGCGGAATGTCTCAAAAGCACATCAATCGCGAAACTCAACACGTTACGGTGACTCTGGGGGATGACCCGCACCATTTCAGAGATGCAAGCGCGCAATTTGCGGGGCATTTTCAACGAAACAATTGAAGTATTCCACGTTGGCTGTTAGTTTCAGAGGCCAAAGTACAACTATCCATGGTTTGTTCGCATATTGGGTCGGCAGTGTTTTTCTGGGGTACAGCTTCCTACGTCTGGTTCCTGGTTGCTGCAGGCCTCAGGCGTTGGTGTACCACGGAGAGTAATGGCAGTGGGTATCCGTGTTGCATTTCTTCGAAACCAGTAAGGAATTCACGACCCTGTCACATGAGCATCGACGCCACCTGGAAGTAATGGCACACTTCAGGGCCATCCAGAAGGCCCGAGCATAACTTCAGCATACGCTCCGACACTGACCGACGTATCACCAGATGTATAAATCTAACCAACTCACTAGTTGCTTTCCCTGCTTATTTTTACTATGTTACTGTCTTCTATTGGAGCTATCACTCGAAAGAAGCTCAATAAGTCCAGAACAAAAGTTATTTGGATCACAAATACTTGGTTAGTTTAGGTTTCCCCGCTTAGATTATCTTTGGACAGTACATATGGACCCTATTTCCTGAGAAGGATCGCCAGGTAATTTAGCAGGGATAATATGGTTTCTAGACGAACTCGATGTTATCAAGCCCATTGAGACCTGAATAATTCCGGTCCAGGAGCCGTAAGCTGGTAGTGAGTAAACAGGCGACATTGAATATCACCATAACCACAGCTTTTTGATTTTTCATTTTTGTGACCTATGAGGAGTTCGTGAAAGGCTTCGTAGGATTTCAACAACAAATAGAACCTTGATTTGGTTCCTATGCACTGCGACAGCGCTTTCAAGTGTTTGTTCCAGTCGTACTCTCTTTGCCCAAAGTGCAACGTTTTTAAAAATATAATCCCCAACGACTTACACGTTCTATATACATGAATGTGAAAGCGCCATTCAGCGACTATGTATAACCATACAGTCGAAAATGAGGTATTTATAATGTAGGTCCAATTTGTATGGGACGAACGATAAATTGTTTACGAAGGTTCGGTAATAGCATCAACCAGAGACATTCAATCACACAATCGCAGACAACGGTAATCAGGACTAAGCAGCAAGCTTTCTAAGGTTACCAGCGACTGATCGCATCATGTAATGTGCTAAAAGATGTCAGTCGATTGCAGAGCAGAGCAATCCGGTAAGTGCAATTTGCCAAACGCGAAATTCTTGTGACGATATCGACTTACTGCAGGCTGATGAGGAAGGTGAACAAGCCAAGCCGGAATGCTCCATGAAATCATTTGAGGGCGAAGTCACAATCGACAAATATATCCAGATTCGTTGTCCTAGACTCAAGAAGTTCGGTCGGAATTCAGCACAACACTAAGCAGCTCACGAGGTCCACCGAACTCCTAAGTGGCAGAATTATTGGCAAACACAGCCCGACCGACGAGAGCGGAGAAGTGGCCATTAGGAACCGAAAGCGGTCGAAATGGGCCTGTAACCTTCAAAAATTAATGCGTTCAAACAATGACGTCAGTCACCAGCAAAACACAGGGCGATTGATTAGGTACCCTTTTAGGTTGAGTTGCACACCACCAGTATTTCACTATAAAATGACGGGATTATGATTTTCAAGTGTAGCATTTTGGTTTCGAGGGGTGCTTTCGACATTGGTTTCGATATTCTGTCGTGCAAATTTGTGAATCACGGATACACGGATTGATACACAGGATCGAGGCTATTAACCACGATTCCCGGGTCACTTTTGTTCTTGCCAAGCTTTGTTCAAACAGGGCATAAGTAAGAATTAGGTCCCCTCCGAGGCGACGGCACAACCAGGGGAAAGAGACCGATCATCGCGAGACTTGTTTCATAGTCCACGGATTTGAGTCCAGCAACCATTCTCGTAGCGCCTCGCAAGACACGCTCAATGAGGGTGACGACTTTCGTGAGTCCTGAGTAGACAACTTGGTTGGCGCATTCCAGGAGCTGTCTGACGTGGGCCCCATAGAGTATTTGGAAGTCGATGCGAATAATACGGGAGAAGGTGCGTTGGATCATCCGTAAAATGGCGAAGGCCTTTTGGGCTGATTTTTCATGGTGCAGTGAGAAGGACAAGTTTGCAAAACTCGAGGTTCTGGAGCAGCTGGGCGTGTGGGACCCTATCAAATGCTTTTGATTTCAAAAAATATCGTATCCGATATGAGTCCTTCGTCCGTGGTTTGCATTGGAACTCAGGATTTCAAGTCGTCCGCAAAAAGTAGACATGGACTTGCAAGAACATCTGGGGGGCCGTTGACGTAGATCAGAAACAAAAATGGTCCCAGGACGGAGCCTTGAGGAACTCCAATGGAGACCGGCGCTGGAGAAGAGTAGGTCGAGCCTGTTGTCACTCTGAATGATCTGTCTGATAGGAACGCCTTGATCCAGCGAAAGATTTTTCCTTGAATCCTGCAAAACTCGAGGTTCTGGAGCAGCTGGGCGTGTGGGACCCTATCAAATGCTTTTGATTTCAAAAAATATCGTATCCGATATGAGTCCTTCGTCCGTGGTTTGGGTTAAGCTGTCCATAAACACGAGCATGTTTGTCACGCAAGAGCGGTGTGGGAGAAATCCGTGTTGAGCTGGAGATGTCAGGTTGCTGGAAGTGAGGTGGTCTAGTATAGCTCGCTTCAGAACACTTTCCATCACCTTGCAGGGCACGCTTGTGTGGTTTATGCGCCTGTAGCTGCCAGGCGACGGTCGGTCACCAGTTTCGTAGATTGGCGTGACAATCGCTTCCTTCCAAGCAGACGAAAGGCGGCCTTCGCCAAGCGACTGACGAAACACCAAGTGTAAATGGTTTG